GTGTGCGTGTGTGTGTGTGTGTTTGAGTCAACATATAACCCATGACACACCTGTCTTTCTCGACAACTTTGCTGGTACCCTTATCTTGGCTTTTGTCGTCGCCTTTCTCTCTCTCCTGCACGCCACTTTCGTAGTCCGTCTGTGATTGCAAGGTGTAGTCATGAGTTAATGAGTCGACTGCGATGTAATCTCACTAGATAACAATACATCCCACAGAAAATAAAGAAACATGAGATATGTTTAAGACAGCGAGAGAGGAAGAACCCTTACTCAGATAAAGCCGTGGATTCTACAAATCCGCTTCTCTTCTCATCTCATCTCATCTCATCACTCTATACACACATAATACACTCACAACACCTACCTGGGATATAGTGACGATGATACTATACATAATACACACACAACACCTACCTGGGATATAGTGACGATGATACTATACCTAATATACTCACAACACCTACCTGGGATATAGTGACGATGATACTATACATAATACACTCACAACACCTACCTGGGATATAGTGACGATGATACTATACATAATACACTCACAACACCTACCTGGGATATAGTGACGATGATACTATCCATAATACACTCACAACGCCTACCTCGGATATAGTGATGATGATACTATACATAATACACTCACAACACCTACCTGGGATATAGTGACGATGATACTATGCTTGCCGTTCTTCTCCTTCTCCGTCTCCACCTCGGAAGGCGAGCGGCCCTTCACCCCAGCCCCCGCCGGACAGCTGTCCTTGTCGCCCGAGTCATCGGGCCCCTTCCCTCTGTCTCGGTCCCTATCACCCCTCCCATTCCTTTCTCTATCCCTCTCTCTATCTCTCTCTCCATCCCTCTCCTTCTCCTTGTCCTTGTCCCTGCCCCTCTCCTTATCTCTATCCCTGTCTCTTCCACGTTCCTTCTCCTTCTCCTTCTCCTTCTCCTTCTCTCTGTCGGGGCGGTCGGGGCGCTTGTCCTGTTCGGCTGGCTTGCCCTTCTCCTTGTCCCGTTCCTCCTCCTCAGCGGCCTTGCTGCGCTCTCGTTCTCGTTCTCGCTCTCGCTCTCGGTCGCGACTGCGGTCGTACTCCACTGCCTTGGACTTCTCCTTCACCTTCTCCCTTTCCTTCTCTTTC